GTGCGATACAAGTTTCACAATTAAATATGGTCGATCTTGCTGGTTCAGAAAGAGCGCGTCAGACAGGTGCTACTGGAGAACGTTTTAAAGAAGGACGTCACATTAATTTGTCGCTTTCTACATTGGCCTTAGTAATAAAGCAGTTGAGTGAGTCTTAAGACTCACAGAAATTTATAAATTTCTGTGATAGTAAATTAACGCGATTACTTCAAGCTTCGTTGGGAGGCAATGCAATGACGGTCATAATATGTGCGGTAACACCTGTTGCACTGGATGAAACTCAATGCACATTATCGTTAGTATTTTTACTTCTTACATTATTTAATATATATTAACGTGAATATGTTGTAACTAATATTTTATTTTTGTAATGAATAGATTCGCATCTAGAGCTAGAAACATAAAAAATAAACCTGAAATCAATGAAGTTATGTCCGATGGTGTACTCTTAAAACGATATGCGAAACAGATAGACAAGTTACATACAGAATTAGAGGTAAATATATTACAAGTTTTCAACGTGTTGCAGCGCACTTCTCTCTGCGCCACAATCGCCACTTATACTAAACTATAAGATAATAGTAATCCAATATAGTCTTAAGGAGCAAAGATATTTGCATAATATCCAGATCGTGAAATTTGTTAACTAATGTAATAAATTATTTTTTTTAGAGAATGAAACAGCTAACTCAACAGACCGATTATCAAGAGATGGAATCTAAGATACAGGAGAAAGAACGCATTAATCAGACCCTAGAAGAGCGCATTAGATTGTTGCAAACTCGGATAGTCACTTCTGCTAATTGCAATAATGCAGTATCGTTTAAGACTAAAGAAAAAAGAAGACAGACATGGTGCGGCACTGGTGGATATAAGTCGAATACATCTGCATTTCAAATGTGCACGAATTTGTCACCAATCAAAGAAATGTCGCCTATAAAATCTCGCAACAGAAAGTCAGCTGATATTGCGAATGCATGTATGTTAATTTTTTGCACGATGCAAATTAAATATCTTGATAAATTGAAATATAAGTTAAAGCTACAATATATATTATTTTTACAGCATTCCAAATAGCCTTTACTGATTTTGAACTGGAACTGATGGATAGTGAGGCAAATCGTGAAGAAGAAAATAGTAGCGATGACGATACTTTTGTGACATATCGTAAACACACTCGTGTTAAATTTACAGATGACGTAATTATTCACAAGTCGCCTATAAATTACAACGATGATAGCACTACATCTGAGAAAATTGATATATCTATTCAGACTGAAAGGTAAATTGTACAGAAAAATTAATTTATTTGAATTGCTTGTCTTATGATTATTTTCATCATTCTTTGTTATAACTAGCCATCAATCTCCTGGTACACCAAAGCAGACTCTACGGGACAGAATTCATAATTTGACAGAAGAATATTCACAGCTTAAAGAATTTACAACCTTGGAGAAGCAGCTATATATTGAAGACCATTATTCTGAACTTCAGGAAAAACTTGCAAGGTTTTCACAGTTGGAAAAGCAGTTGGAAAATATCACGACTGATAAGAACTTTTTCGAACACATAGCATCTGATCTTCGTAAAAAGTTAACTGCAGCTGAATTACGTTACACTTTGACAGAAGATAAACTAAACGCGCAAGAGTCAGAGCTACAAAAAATACCAGATTTAGAAAAGAAGGTCACGCAATTATCTGCGCTGGAGATAGAGGTCCAAAAAGTTCCAGAACTACAAAAACAGATAGCCCTTCTTACAGATGAAAAAAATGGATATGAACATGTTGCGTCTGAACTGCGAAAAAAGCTTAACGAAGCTAAAGCATGCAATATTTTATTAGAAGATAAATTAACGACACAGAATGTAGAATTAGACAAACTCTCGTCGAATAAAACTATTTCTTCCGAAAAAGATGAATTGCAATGTAAAATAACTGATCTTCAAAATAAATTAACAGAAGCGGAATTGAGCAATAATTTAATGACGAATAGACTGGATGAGCAGCAACAAATGCTACAAAATCTTCTAGAAGAAAAGAATGAATTTGATCGTACTGCTTCTGAAATGCAAAATAAATTAAAAGAAGCGGAAGAAATCAATCACTCGATAAGAAATGAATTAAACGAGCAACAGTTAGAAATCCAGAAATATCAAGATCAAGAGAAGCAGATTGCACAACTTAAATCTGAGAATCACCAACTTGAACTTACTATCGATGAACTTCAAGAGCAACTAATAGACACAAAAGTAATAATTAACGCAAAGGAAAATGAGATGGATGAAAACCAGCAAGATTTAAATAGATTTCAACATCTAGAGAATATTATCCAAGAAAAAATGGAAGTTGAACGAATCAATAGTATGTTAAGAGACGAATTGAAAGAACTAGAACTAATGAATGGTTCGATGAAAAGTAAATTAGATGCACAGGAGCTATATATACAAAAGACTTGCAATTTGGAGAATCAGGTTGACAGTCTTGCAATCGAGAGAAATGAATTCAAAGGTATAATTAATGAATTGGAAGAGAAATTGAGAGAAGTAGAACTAATAAACAGTTCACTGCGAAATAAATTAGATGAATATGAAGCAAATACACATGAAATTGACAGTTTAGAGACCTCTCTTACACCTGAAAATAACTCTGAACAGATTATTTCGGAATTGCAAAAGAAATTAAAGGAAGCAGAATTGTGTTACAATTTAATCAAGGAGGAATTAAATGTGCGTCAAGCGGAAGTGCAGAAAATGATTGAGGAACAAGGCAAATCTATTGAAAATTTTGCAGTTGAAAGAAATAAATTGGAAGATACAATTCATAAGCTACAAGAAAAGTCAAAGGAAGCGGAACTGGATAATAATTTAATGAAGGATAGAATAAATGAACAGGAATTGCAGTTGCAGAAGAGTCATGATATGGAACAAGAGATTGAACGTCTCACATTGAAAATAAAAAACTTCGAGTCTATGGTTCACGAGTTCGAAGAAAAGCTGGCCAATTCTCAGCATCGTATTTCAGCCAGAGACGAATCGGATGGAGAACAATTACAAAAGATTCAATTAGATGCGCAAGTCGCAAGTCCGATATCTGAAAGAAATGAACAGGACTCTATAACATCACATCAACAATCAAAGAGTCCTGAAAAGGAATTAACGGACAATCAAAGCAGAGACGAAATTAATTATCTGGATAGTCGTATAAATGACTCGCAAAGTATTTGGGATATACAGAACGAAAATACATACTTGAAAGAACAGGCAGCGAAATCGATATCGGATAACGAACACAACTTAAGCAACGGTGATTCGAAAACTATAGATGATTTATCAATTTCGAGGATGTCTCTAGATGATAGCGCTAAATTATCTGCAGATCTTGTTTTAAAAAATCAAGAATTAGATGAAATAAAGCACGATGTGCGAAGCTTAAAAGCGGACATAGAAAAGTTACAGAAAACTATATATTTGTTAACAACCGAGAACAGCGATTTGGCAAGTAAATTAATAATGGAGAAGGAAAGTAACGAGAGATCAGCTATTCAATCTCAGCAGACCATCGATGAGCTTTACGCGCGAAACTCAAAGATATTGAAGGAAAAACTCGAGCTGGAGAATAATTTAGCAAATCTTAACGAACAATTAGAAATCCTTCGCTCGAGAATGCCCGAGGTGAACTTAAACGAAGAGCAGATGACTCACAAGTATGAAGAACAGATCAATTCATTGACAGAAAGAAATACAGAATTGGTATCCGATATCACAGACAAAACGAAAGAACTTGAAATGTTAAAAGAGAGTAAATCGCTTCTGTTTGAACACGAGTGCAGCTACAAAGATAAATTAACGGATCTTATGGAGAAACATAAAGATTTAACAGTCGAAAACAGTGAACTTTCCACTGATTTGATGGACAAAATCGAAGAGAATGAAGGATTAAGACAAGAGTGTGACATTCTACAGAGTAAACTAAAATTGTCACTGGAGAATAAAGAGAATATTGGTAACAGCGATACGGAGCAACTGAGAACGGAGAATACTCTGTTGAAAACCGAGCTGGTGGAGCTGAAAACTAACATGAAAGTTTTAAACGAAGAAAACTCGAAAATATCCAGTCAATTAATGGAAACCATAGAAGACTTAGACAATGCACGAAAGTGCAATTCTGGTAACGATACCATGCATTTGTCGACATTATTCAACACCAATACCTTAAATGATACAATGGATAAATCTATGTTAGACGACAATGCCGAAGCAAAAATCGTAAGTCTGCAAGAGGAAGTTAAACATCTCAAGGATCTCAATGGAAAGCTTAGCGATTTAAAATTAAGTGCCTGTACTCAATGCATTCATTTGAACGAGTTAAACGACAGCCGAAGAACGCTCAAGCTCGAGGTGAAGAATCTTAATCGTAAATTGGAGTACTATGAGAGAAAGTTCAATAGCAAATCCGCACAGAGCGACGCGCTTATGCTAAAGGCTAAAGAAGACGTAAACATAAGTATGTGCAACTTATCTCTTAATGCCAGTTTCTCGGAGAACATGAATGTCAGCTACGTCGAAGAAAGACTTGTATCTCTAAAGAACGAATTACAAATTTGGAAAGAGGATCATAATAAGCTATCGGAATTGTATGAAGAAAAATGTAATGAGTTTGAAGAACTGCAAAATAACACGATCACGGATTCGACGCCGACCGATGATGTACAGATTTCCAGCACCAAGAAATCTCCAAGTAGAAGTTCATCAAGATTAGAAAATATCGAAAAAGTTATGAGCGATTTGCAAAATGATTTCAAGAAGATAAAAGAAAACAACGAAAGCGTCAAGACAGATCTTGCAAAGTTTACTAATGAGAAAGAATCGCTAGTGGATAAAATTAATACGTTGAAGACCGCTAATGAACAGTTGTTGCAGAAATTGTCGGAAAGTGAACTCGTTCATACTACTGCTTTAGAGAAAGCCGATATCCTCGAAAACGAGCTAAAAGATATGACGAAAAAGCTTCAAGAAATTACAGTAAAGTATAAACAGATTGAAAATGCAAAGCTACTCCTTGAAGTCGAAGCGGAAAGTCTAAAAGAAAACAAAGTGATGAAAGAACAAACAGTAAATGATTTACGTCAAAGCCATTCCTGCTTAGAACGCGAATTAGATTTAATAAAGAAAGAGAAAGAAGCGCTCAACAACGACATCGTTCTTTTGGAGCAAAAATATAAGGAAGAACTAGAATCACTAAAGGCAACGAACGGAGAATTGATCAACTCTAAAGCAACTATCTCGCAGGAATTTGCTAATTATTCTAAAGATTCGGAAAATAGATTGACGGAACTTAATGAAAAGATAAATAAGTGCACTTTCGAAAACGATTACTTAAAACAGGAATTGATCAAGCTGCGCGACATAGAAGATAAATTTGAGAAGATGAAAACTGAGTATCAATCCAAGTCACAGCAAGATAAGACATTAGCCGACGATAACAAGAAGCTGAAAAATGTTTTGACTGACACTTCTAAGAACATCGTTAAGGAGATCAAGTCTCTCAAACCTAAAGTCGACACTCGGGAATTTATGGATAAATCGGTGGATGAGCTGTTCCAGATATTCTTGCAAACTATTTTGATGAAAGAGAAGGAAATAGTGAAGACTATGCAGGAGCATTTCGATAAGGAGAAGGAAAAGCTCGTGGATGAAAAGCGGCAGAGCGTAGACGCGGAAAAACGTACGTCGCTGTGGGCGAGAGAACTGGAGTGCGACATAGATAAACTTCAGAAGGACTTGTCCGAGCGAGAAATTGCATCTGAGGGATTGCAGAAAGAAATAGCGCGCTTGGAGCAACTTTTGGAAGAGAGTAATCACGACCGAGAGGTATTGAGAGAGAAGAATAGCCTGCTCGAGGCGGATCTCAATAACTTGCAAATTGAATACAATAAATATTGTAAGATCGACACGGTGAATGAAGAGGCCATCACTATTGCGCAGAAACGAGAGAAGCAAGCGCAAGAAATGTTCAAGAATAAAGAAACAGAATTTCAGATGAAGTTAAAGTCTGAGAAGGAGGCGTACAACAAGCGGCTCGAAGATCTCACGTGCACAATAGAGTCGTTTAAGACGAAAAATATGGAACTGGCGAGTAACATCGAGGGTCTCGAAGCTAATCAGAAGCAACTGAAGAACATTATCGACCTAAAAAATAACGAATTAATGAAAAACAATCAAATTATTCAAAAAATGCAAGTCGAATTGGAGCAGCTCACGGAAGCTCACAATGACTTGAATAAGGAATTGCACGAGAAAGAGTTACGTATCGCGGAAATCAAGGAACTTCTGAAAACTAAATGCGACGAGCTGACGGAGTATAAAGCTAATTTCGAGACGATCGTGCCCGAGAACAAGCTGTTGAAGCAACAGATCAACGAGCGGAAAGCCAGCATAGAGCAGTACAAGGTGGAAATAGAGATCCTGAAAATGGGAAACAAGAAGGAGATCGATGCGATTCAAGATCAATTGAACTTTGTGAAACTGAAGAATGTCGAGTTGAACAAGCAGATAGATGAATTAAATAACAAGAACGTAGCCTTGACGGAAGAGACGAACGCTTTAAAAGACGATTACAAGACGTTACAACATAAGTGTACGACATTGGAAAGGCGAGTCAGGAATAGTACGAGTAAGGTCCAGGCGGAAGAACGAATGGAAGAACTGAAGGACTTGAATAGGTCTTTGCGAAATAATTTGGACGGTGCTAGCAATCGGATAACGGAATTACAAGCTGTGAAGGCCGATCTGATGAAGCAACTGGTTATCTTAAGTAGCCAGTACGACGCGGTGTGCAAAGACAATCAGGAACTGAAAGAAGCTATGTCATCGTTCAGGTCCAGACATAATGATACATATACAGCCTGCGAGAAGTTCGACGACTTGCTACAAGAGAAGAACAAAATTGCATTAGAACTAGAAGCGACGAAAGTTCAGTTGAATCAGAAGAACAGGGACATCGAGAATTATACCAGCGCGATAAAGGAATTGACAGAAAAGAACGCGGAGCTCGATCGAGAATTGGACGAGTTGGCAGAAGTTATTCGCGAGCATGACACCGAGAACGCGAGGCTTCAAGACAAGTATTACGCGTGTCGTGTCGAGACTGACGAACTACAGGACAAGATCAAAGCTCTCGAGAGGAAAGATCCAAATTATCAGTCGCGAACGAGCTTTTCGTCCTCCGACAGGGCTGACAAGTCTCACGATGATGAATGCAATTGCGTGACGTTGAAGACCAAGATACGAGAGTTGCAACTGGAGGTGGTGTCGAAGAATGGAAAGATCGCGACGTTGGAGCTGCAAATACGTAGCGGAAGTTTCCCATATCAGGCGAAGTGTAAAGAACTACAGGAACAGGTATCGGCGTATAATAACAAGGTACTCTATCATACTTTAATTATCACGAACCTCATTACGATTGTAAATAACTTAATCAATTTCATAAATGCGCATTGTTGTTACAGAATAGCGAGCTAAAAGCGGAAATCCAACGACTGCAGTTGGCCTTGGTGCGTACAAGCGTGAAAGAATGTGACGTATGCAAACAGAGACTTGTAAATAGGAGAGATCAAACATGTCAGACGATGCCGAACAACTTATTGCGACTTTGCGGCACAAGCAGCGGCATAATCGATGTAAGTGTATGTCGATACCTTGGAATTAGAGCAACCAATGTTTGTTTAGTCTCAAAATTTAAAGATAAAAGAAATATGCAAATGTAAGAACATCCTGTTTCATTGATTGCTCAAGTTCCATGATATGACTACATCGTCATTAATAATTATTAATATGTTATGTTTCATATATAATGATATTTTGTACAGGATGACATAAGAATAAGGAAATTGGAGAAGGAGAAGCAGATCATGAAAGACGTGTGCCGGTCTCGATCGAGGACTATAAAAGAACTCGAGAAGCAAATAGAAGAGTACGAGAAGTTGTTCCATTCCAAAAATTCATGATTTACGAGAATATTTCACCGCGTTGCCATATACTGACCAAATTATCATCGATTACTGTAATTATTAAATTGTGTGATTCTGGTGGCCTTCCGGTGGAATTGAACATTGATGGCTCTAATAATTGCTCTAAAGTTTACATAATATATAGAGCATATAAAATGTAAATATTTTTAATGTTACGATAATACCAGATGTAGAGTTTTATATTTTTGTAACACAGATATGCAAATTCGATTACTTATTTTATACGTCGACTACAAGATGGTAACAATATATTTTTTGCCAATTTTACATGTTTTTAAAATAATATAACTCCTGTGATATAATAAGAAATAATAGTTTAATCAGGGCATAAGGTGTATATATTAAAGTATTACATGGCCAAGTAGTTATAAAGATTAAATTTTAGCCACTGTTTAAATTGTGCCTTTTAGTTTTACGCATAACATTATTTTATATGTGTAGTTTCAAAAAACAATAGTAACGTTATACTACAATCGTTTTAATCGTAATGGTTATAATATACCGTTTTAAAATACAATTGATGATAATCTATGTAAAAATCTACACAGTCTCTGAATACAGAGTAAAGAATACACCAGATTAAATTTATATTGCAGGGTAGAAAAAAAATATCTCGATGAAAAAATAATTATATTCTTGAATTATACACAAAATAAGAAAAAGTTAGACAATCACAATTACTAAGAGATTTGTATAACAAAGAAATGTAAAATTTAAATTTAATTTTATTTAGACTACATATTGGCAAAATCGAATTTCTACTTTAAAATATTGCTAGACATTGGCTACGGTCAACGTGACGCTACAAATGCTTCGAAGCATTCCTCTTCTCTTTTCTTTCAATGAAGAAAGAAAGAGAAGAAGAACGCTCCAAAGCATTTGTAGCGTCACGTTGACCGTAGCCATAATATAAGGATTTTATGCAAAACGTTTCCTATGTAACGTGGAAAAAGCATTAATATATGTACAACTTTCTTGACTTTCTAACTATATATAGGATTACTTCCTTTCATGTATTTTTCTTTCTTTTTAACAGAGATACTCTGACATTGAACAAATTAAAGCGTGTAATTAATGCTTTTACTTATGTAGCTTATATATTTTGCAAAAATGTATTGACACTTGAAGAAGTTCTGTAATATAACGTTTTATTTCCGAGATATTTTGTTGTTTACAAATTATTTAATATTACTTTAGGATTTGTCAAGTTTTGCTTTCTTCGGTTTATATCTCATTATGTGCTTACGTGGCCTCTTTGTGCCAACTTTTGCTTGGAATAAATCTGAAACAAAAAATCACATTGTTACATTGTAGTATCTAATTGTAAGTTGAAAACTTGAATCTATTTAAGATATTAATTAACATTCTATGTATATTTACCTTTATCAGGCTCTTCTCCTACTTCTTCACGATAATACTGCGCATCGTCGTCTTCTTCTACTTGGTTCTTTTCAGCAGATTCTTTTGCGATTTTTTGTAGGAGCATGTCGTTTTCTTTCTTTTTCAGAATTCCCTTCAACGATTTCTCTTTGTGTTCTTGCTTCTGTGCGTCCTTCTTTTTTCTATTTTCTTCTTGCAGTCTCTTTCTTTTCTCCTTCAATTTCTTTTTCTCTTCTCTCTTCTTCTTTATCGCAAGTTTCTCCTTTTCTGTTTTGTGTACAAGTTCATGGAAAAGTATTTCACCATCGAGGAGTCCGTTTTCCACTTTGATTAACTAAAACAGAAAAATTAACCTTAGAACAATATAAAATATCCATAAATTTACTACTTGTATTAGTCTCGATTAGTTCTTTAACCTGTAACGTTATTCTCGGTCCCAGCTCGGATAATCTAATTGCACTCTTAGAATTAGCGTGATTCCCTCTTGAAGACAATTCTTGTGATAATGTGACATGAGTACTTTCGTCATCTTCCGCTTCACTTTCGGACATAATCGGTTTAGTTAAAAACTCGGAAATATCTTGACACTTGGATAAATTCGGTACTTTAGCTTGCACTATCTTTTTGATGCCTCTCGATAAACCTACAGGTACAACCTTGATCGTGTAATGTCTGAAGTCAATGGTTTTTGACGTCGCGTTGTAATTTAAGCATATACAACGACGGATTGTACTCAAATTAACCTGCCAAGAAAAAACGTTACTTTATAAATTAATGCTTCTCAAATTGGTTGTTTTACAAAATTGCGTTTCTTGAATTGGTTGCTTTACAAGACTTACAGTGGTCAGGTTTATAGTTGGAAACATGTTTTGGAAAGTGGAAGCTATAAGTTTTAGTTGCATGCCCTCCCCACTAAAATTATTTAAAACCAACAGAGGAGAAGTTTTGAAGGCTTCCTCGTATACCAGCTGCTTCTTCAACATAGATATAACATCTCGTGCTAAGGAGAAACTGTGTATCTTGAAAGTAAGCGTGGGTCCTCTAGGCAATCTGTGACACGTATTTAAAAATATTATCTAATAAATCAATTTATAAATTAATTTAAACAATCCCCTTCAAAGAGTTTATTCTTATCGATAAATTTGATTAAAGTGAATACAGTACTTGCAGATCTTGAGGTACATTCCCAGCTCCGTTTTTGTAAATATGCACATGTGACTAACATGCAGCACGCTCGCAACTGAGACGAAGTCTTTAATAGTGTTCTTCTTTCGTGCCTTTAAGGACGAAGCTGTAAAAGGTTCCATAACTTTGCGAAAATCTTTAGTGAGCTCGACGATATGTTCTCCTGGCAATCCACGATGGAATACAAAGGAATGAGGCGCTTTCACTAACTCCTCCTTTTCTCCAACGTTTATTTGCTTATTTCGCTTTACACATCGACCCTAAATAAAACTCGTTTTAATTAGAAAAATAAACTATCTCTAGTTTTATGTTTTCAATACCGTTACATGGAATGTGTGTGCGTAAATTGTCGCTCAATTTTTATATTGGCTTACAACAATAATTTTATTAAACATCTTTCTGTTACTAATTTATATTAATCATAAATAAACTTTCTAACAAATAAACAATACCTTCTTTTTGCGGTTACCCATTTTTAGGTTAGATTAGGTTAGAATCAGGGTTCAGCACGTGGACAAAACTCAATAAAACGGAGAAACTTGACGTAAATAAAAATTATACTCGAAGAGACAGTGATTTACTTTCTTATATTTTAAGTATAAAATAATATTATCCTTCTTCTTCTTTTTTTGCTTTTTTTCTTACATTGATCCACCGTTCACGTACTACTCCACATTTCCCACGTGTGTTTCGCATAAATGTAAACTACCAATGCGTAATGCGTATTAAAAACTCGCAACTTTTAGAAAAATGAAAGATATCGAGAAACTTGACTGTGTTTCTCGCGTAAAAAATTAGTAATTAAAATTGATAATTTATTTGGCAGCATTTAATTTTAAATTAACAAAAACACATTAGCAATGCCGATAATTACTTACTGTCGATTATATAATTAATGATTTTACCAACTACAGTAAAATCTGAATTGCAGTCAATTTCTGTCGATTATCAACCGTTAATTATATATCGACATTATTTTTCAATTTTATAATCAATATATATGCTATAATCAGTATGAGTAAATGTAATTAAATAAATGGCACAAATCGGAACATGTTCGACGAGCATTATAATTTCAAATGCTTTATTCATCATGAATTAATAATCGTTTCTCTTTCGTTACCCATACTAGCATGAGCAAGATTATAATTGATTGATTGTTATACCAACGTAACTTACGTAATGTACGTGTAAAGATTATGAGATGCATGAATATTTATTAGATACGATGCGCATATCTCAAATATATGTATATTTTATAATTGGTGTGCTACTTTATGCGCAAGGTATTCCGAATGTATAAACGTACATCAGAGCGAGAGCAAGATCTTAGTACGCTCAAATCTGTACATCCAACGTAAGCAACGCGACAATTATGACATGTCATGTAATCGTAATAATGACTTCCTTAACGCATATGCTTTTGATAGAAAGAGAGTTTGACATTCTAAATGTTACTCTAGATTTTTAATAATTATATCATATTTATTTAATATAATTTCTCGTACATTTTCATCATCTCTTTGCCTGAAAAGACCCATTAATATCATTTTATTATTATTTTTATTGACGAGATGTAATCTACGTAGACAGAATTTAAAACAAAATTGGAAGAAAGGCAGGAGATATGAAATAATTTCATAAAGAAATAGCTATAAGATTATTTTATTAATACACAATATACATATATAATTAACACAAGGTAAGAGCAATTATTAATCTCGAACTTGGCGAGTGCCGGGATTAAACGACGGCCACAATAACGAATTACGATAAAACACTTCCCTTCTCACTGTATTATGAATACTACGCGAGTATAGCGGCATGAAGACGGTCGAAGAAGGGGGAGGGAATACGCCACACCACGCAACGTACTTCATTGTCTCGAAGCGCGGGAACTCGTTAAGCAAAGCGAGCTCCTCTCACGGTGCAAAGTTCACGGCTGCTTCACGGGGATCCTTATCTACCTAGCGCGTGTCTGGGCCCTGGGCCCCTCGATTTTTTCACCGTGGTCGATGTTACGCCTCCCCCTCCCCTGTCCCTACCCTCTTAACCCCCGAGCCCCCCGACCGCTCCGAGCGGCTCGGCATAAATCTTGCGCGTTCGCGTATCCCCCGCGTTATCTCGAGGGTCTCGTTTGCGGTACCCTCTTCAAGCCGGCGACAAATCGGTGGAATTTTAACGATCGCTCGAAGCTGTTCGAAGCGTCGCGTCGCGACGAGAGCGAACGGTCGCCGCTCGCCGCGCTCGTTGACAGATAAACACTCGTCAACTCGTGTATACTCTTGTGCGCGGCGTCAAGCACGCCGGAACAATTTTTCCATGCGCCGGGCGCAGATGGCACACGTTTGAAATAACGTGGCTCTCGAGATCGAGAGAGAAAGAATTAACGCGACGCGAATGGAACGCGAGTGTGTTAGCGTCTATTAGGTAAGTAAAAATTAATCAGCATTTGCATCCGGATGAAGAATAAGCCGCATGATATATGGCGAGGAGTCGTTGAATCCGCGAGCGAGACAATCTTAAATGCAACGCATATTAATCGCCTCTGAATAAGCGTCATTCTCGAGAAAGGAGGGAAAAGGGGGAGCACAACTGTTCGCGAGCTCCGGCCGGGCTCACGTCGTGATTTTTTCGCGAGGACAGAACGCGCTCATCCTGATGGGAAGGGGGAAGGGGAGAAACGTAATAATAAAGACGCGATCCACGAGCGGGAGTCTTGTTATATGTTATATCGTTTCATTTCATAGAATTTCTTCGCAACGAATTACGTTGCAAAAGTCTGAAAAGTCATCGCGACGACGGCGGCGGGAAGGAGAGGAGAGGAGAGGGGGCCTTACAGTCCCATCATCAATCAGAGCGCGCCCGCTTGCTCGCGTTTAATGTTTAATGGCCGACGACAGATGGCGCCAGCGGCACCGCGACAATCGCGCCGTGCCGAAAGGAAATTAACCGTGCGGCGTCGGCAGCGGGCAGCCGGAGCCGGAAGCGACGAGCGACGCGGACGACGCGGTGACGACGAGCGGGAGCGGGGCCCGTTGTTCATGCGAGACTGCGAGAGAATCCCTCACACTTCTGTCGCTCGCGGTTCCGTTCTCCAGCCGGAGTCCGGACTGCCCGGAGCCGGCTGTTCTCCACGTTCGCCAGGCCAGACGAGTCCGACGGCGATGCGGCCGATGATGCGACGATGACGATGACGACGGGCGCGAATAATAGCCGCGAGACGGCGGAGCCGGCTGTATGGATAAACACTCGCGCGAAGGTAACGTCTACCATATGCCGGGCTAGAAAACCGGCTGTGATTTTTGCCCGGGCGCGTACGCTTCGCGCGTTTATACTTATATACTTGCCGCGACGCGACACTCGGCCGATCGGCGCGTAGCGCGCCTCGGCGAATTTGCCTTTGCTTGTCGCCAATTCAAATGGGAAACGCGAGAAAATGATAAGAATGATGAGATCCTCGTCATTTTGATCAATTGAATTGACGGGCGGTTGCAGATTGACCTAGCTGTGCTACGTTCGTTGAATTGTAATAAGTAAGTCAAAGATATCAATATGTTTGTTTTTGTTCATATTTCTTTCAGTTTTATTTGTTTGATTTGAAATGGTTAAGTATACCGGAATTTTAGAACAAGGATTACGGATATTTTTATTTATTCTTACACAAATCGAAATCGATAACGATGCTTATCAAAATCAAAATATTAAACTTGGAATCCAATCCCATCGTGAAAATCAAAAGGATCTGTCCGGCGGTGCGGCGTTGCGCTGGTCCATTTGATGCATCTTGTTGCATAATTGATCTTATCTGCGGATAAATTTGTAATCATAATTTGCGTCGTTCTGATCGCTGAAGCGATCAATTCTCGGATACAGTCGGAAGAACGTCGTCGGCGCGCGGAACGTTTCTTGAACCGCGAGGGGGGTCCCGCCGCTCACTTCACCTCGCGCGCCCGTTCTCCGTTGACGCTGGTTGACGCCGGCGCGGCGGCCGACCGCGAAGCGGTAACGCGGCGGGCGCGTTGCCACGCGGTGGGACGCCACGGCACACGGCGCACAGCGAGACCAGCAAAAACGCAACCTTCGTGCTTAAAGCGAGACGAGAGGCATGCCACGGTGACGGACCCGCGGCGCACCGTTGCACCTGCATCTCCCTGCTGCCCTGGCACTCCTACCTTACTGATCCCAACTGCGGGATACCGAGAATGCCCGCGAGCGAAAGAGGAACACGCTCCTCTCGCTCCCTTGCCCCCCTTTTAGAGGACCCGCTGCCGCCGCGCCGCAAAAATCGCGCTCTACGACGGTTACCCTGCCGTAAAAGCGTTTTACTTTACGCGCTTCGGATTTCTCTCTCTTCGTGGATATTATTCGGAAACAATGTTAGGAAAGATATTTCGAGGCACCTTGAATATTTTTCCTTTTAGATAGAACTTTGATTTATTTGAAATAATGATTTTGAATAGTTTCTTTTTTAGGTAGAACTTTGATTTATTTGAATTTGCGAAAGGATTTAATATAAAATTTTATCGACAGTCTCTCAGAGAAAAAGGTATAATACCGGAGTCAATATTTTTTTATATGTACTCGCACATCGCGACAGAAAAGAAATATAGATCACAGAAAAAAAACTGTATAAACCAGATACGATCCAAACGAAAATAAAAAAGTCGAGTCAACAGGACTAAAATACGAAAATAAAGATGGCATATATCAGGTATTAATTAGTAATTACACTTATATAATTAAACAAAAATTGTGTAACAACCCAGTAACATGTCTACGTATAAAAATAATAGATAATAGAATTTGAACATTCCGTTCGGACGTCAGGTTTCTCTGCTGCACGAGGAGCACGAGCACGAGCACGAGCTGGAGCTGGTGCTGGAGCTGGTGCTGGTGTTGGTGCTCCGGCTTGTGCTAGAGCTGGTCGTATCGGACCGTGACGACGGACTGGAACTCGATTCGCTCAGTAACGGTTGGCGCAAGTTCTTCGCTATGTCGCGGTATTCGGACTCGAACGATCGCATCCTTTTTGACGATGGCGAGGGTGGCACGCTCTCGTCGCTGTCGTCGCTCGCGCTCAACGTCGTCGTCTTCACTCCCATCGCCGCGCACGCCTGAGCCGGTTCAGGCAGATCGTAGCTGATGGTCCGCACCCCGTACATATCGCTAATGATCTTCCGGGGTCCCGGCTCTTCCCGAGTCTTGGGGACGCGCGTTCTCCTCGGCTTGATCAATTGGCACTCGAGGCTGATCCTCTTCAAGCGCGGCATCCCGTACACGACGCGATTCGCTCGGAAAGGAGGCACGTTGGAGGCGTTTTCTTTCAACAAAGAGTTAAATATCCGGCTGGTCCCCTCGGTGTTCACCACGCCTTTCCCCACGAAAAATTCGGTCTCGAGGAAGTTTGCGGCGTACAACGGCGAGCGGACCTCTTTTGAATCGCCTACATTGTTGTTCTCGTCGCTCTCGTCGCTCTCGTCCGCTCGGTCCTTTTTCTCGTAACATTCGCTCGCGTACTCGTCGGACGAGGTGCGCGAGTCATCCGTGCTGGGGTTGCTGGGAATAGGATTCATCTGGGGAGTGTAGTAATATCGCGCTATAATATCCGAGACATCGATCAACGATCTGTTATGATCGCTATGATCGCTTGCGGAAACTTGTCCCGAAGGTTTCGAACCCTTTTCGTCGTCCGACACCGACATCAGTTCCAAATCGGTCGCCGATTCCAAGATATCGCCCGTGCAATTTGCCTGTCAAAAAGGTTTTTCCTTAATCGCGAATTGTAACAACTCGCCGTTAATATCTTCTTTTTGTTTCTCGCGTTTATAAAAGGAAAATAATTCATATTATCCTCAGCTTGACATTTTATTTAGTGATTAATATCATTTGTAAGTTTTATATTTTATATTCATCTGCTATTATTATATTCTCTTTAAACTATTTATAATTTGTGTTAGATTTTAAAATTCTACTAATAATTTTGTGAGCTGTGTAACATATCGATCAGTAAAGAGAACTACTGTGTTAAGCTTCATTTTTTCGCTATTGACCATTTTCAGGTTAATTCAACCGTTCTATAACCGCGAGAAATACAGGAAATTGTAAAAAAGAATAGGGATACAATTTTGCATCCCCCTTTTCGGGAGTTTAATCGGCCCTTCTGACTCACCCTTCTGACGGTGACGGATGGAATGTCGATGCAGCGCGAGACAGGTCTGCACCACGTGTTGCATCCGCTTCGCGTATTGTGATAGTACACGCGGTCGGGATAGGTCTTAGATCGACACTGAATCCAACCATAGTTGTCGACGAATTCGCCGAATTCGGGACACGACTTGAGCGCGGACGCGGACACATTGTCGTTGCTACTGTTGCGGCTGTTGTTGCTGCTGCGACTGTCACTGATACCGCCGTCATAGTTCGGATAATCGTCGTCGTTGCTGTCGAAGTCGGTAATAGACGCGGCGGAATACATCCCGATACCGCACAATACATACTAATCGGCGATACTGTGGGTCTGTGCGGCGAGACGTGTTGCTAGTTGAAAGCGAGCGCCGGGCGCCGGGCACGAAACAAAACAAAACACGTCCGGGCGAATGCAAGCATCGCAAGTATCAACAATCCACATGGATAATCGACATCTAGCGGTACCGCGTTACGATCGATATCGCGGCGAATGCGCCCGTGCATAACACGAGCGCGCAGGAAGGTTTTGTCATTCACGTGGTCCCGTGATAGGCCGCAATTTAACACAGTCCGCACGAACGCGACGAGTAATATCGAACTGTTCTTTAGAATAAAAAAAAGACGGATTAAAATTAAGATTGTCTGACGATCGAGTTCTAATCTTCGGTTCGTAATCCTGAACCTCCAATACGAAGTTCGATGTGAATTTCAATCAAATTCCGACTTCATTTAGAACAGAATTCTATTCATATTTTTATGTTATATTTTTATTTATTTTTGAAAGGCAGCGTTGTACGAGAAAAGTTCAATTTATATATTTGATTTATTTTGTCATGTAGAATCATCTAATAATAATAATAGCCTAGCTAAAGTGTGCTAGTCATGTTTATCTTTCTATATTCTATCGTTAGGTTTATCTGTCTACGCTCGCGTTTTTCAGATCTTCAGTCTTTGAAAAAACCTCGTAGGGCATTGTAAGCCTATAAAACAGGTCAGGAGGACCGACTGACCGAGAACCGACGGCTAAGATTTTTTATTCATCTTTTTTCCGGAAGAAACGTCGGGAGAATACGTAATGCAATATGGTCAGCGTGCATCCCGATGCACAGCTCATTATTCGCGACCGTGCGTGCATAGTTTTTATTATTCGCGACGTATCTCTTTCGAGAACGCTCCCGCGGTCCCGCCGCGCCGCGCCGTGTTCTGGTTCCCGCCTTGTTCCACATCCTCTTCCCTTTTTTTCACAATAGCCGCTCCGCTTTTCCACGAAATTCTTAATCCTGGTTTAGAATATGTAATGAAGGCGCACCAGCTGCCACGTGGTTATTTGATACGCGCGGCGTTTTGCCATCCATCGTTCTTTATCTATAACGACTTTTAGGCACAGCCTAATTATATTTATTCTTATATAAATCCTTACTTGTCGCGATATGTATTCTCTTGCGAAATGAAATTTTAAGCCTTGGATGCATGACTTCCTAATGAATCGTGCAAAAATTCAATGGCAGATGAATGATTTTATTAATTTTATATCAAAAATTGTCTTAAAATTTCTCCGAAAACAATTAATAAATTAAGGTATAAAATGTATGACAAAAAAGGTGTTGGGTAAAAGAAAAATACTGTAAGGTCTTGAAAATTCCTCTCTCATGCATCCATAAGAATTAAATACCTCCCAGAATTTTCACCAAGTTTTAAATGAATGAATGAATCAAATACATGTTGTGATTTTAGCGAATTATATGTAAAATACATGAAATAAATATTGTGGTTTAGAGAATTGCATATAGAAAACGTTTACTTATCCAGATAAAAGTTTCAATTCCTAGTTTTAACTCTGATTCATGTAACGACAATGAAAATATAAAAATCGAATTATTCCTGGTGTTTGCCGACGCGAAATGCAGTTCTCCGCACCCACCTACTGCGCGTGACAGAAAATCCTTGACAGCTTCGCGCAATAATTTCGCTCAGACTGCTAAAGGTCGAGTCTCGTGATTTATGAACATCACAAAATGTTCTGTTTCTTCGCTTCATTATTAGGCGTTTACACGCGGCGGCCTTGTTTGAAAATAATAAGAATACTGAGAATACTTTATTTTGACCTTTCTCTTTGTGACTGTCGTTCTTAACAAAACATCTATCCGTGATGTTCTTTTTGCGTAAGATCCCTATCATAAACTTGTTAAAAATTTCTTTCTATTTTAGAATAGTAAAATTTTAGGCTTCATAGCGTTTTGGATACATTTTTTACAGATATATAATTTAGTTCTTTTTAGCTTTCTTTCGGAAAAAAATTTAGACCGTGTCTGATGTCAAAGGATTTTTTGCCTTGTCGCGTTCGTTTCTCGCAATTGCGGAAAATTTGGTAAAGAAAGCGCGCGGCGAAGAACAAATTCGCAGAAAATAAACTCAAAAAAGTTCAAGAAAGCCTGCCGGCTCACCGCAAGAACGGTACAAAAAAAAAGGATAGGCGGTTAGGTCTAACATGAAAGATCCTGTAACTCGAGAATTTCTCGGACCTTTGATCCGCAGGGCGGGGGAGTTCTCTTTTTATTCACGGATCCGCTTTGGATCGCGCGCGGCTGTGCGGATATGAAGTTTCCTCATTCTTCTCTGCTCTTTTGCCGAACAGTCATATTCGAATGCAGTCCAGTTTTATGACCGCAGCTTCCGAGGACAGTACCTTGACGTCTAAAAATAGACGTCAAGGTAATATATAACGAACGATCGAGTAAGATCGATCACTTTGCTCCGTTTTGATATGCAATGCGGGCGTCACTGAGATACGAAAGAAAACTCGAGTAGGGAGGATAATCTTGTAACAAAATCGCTCAACTGAAGAGCACGAGAGAAAGTCTCATTTTGTAGAACATCATCGTCAAAGCATCTTACGCTGAAATATATTCTTATACAAATATATCTCGCTATACGATTGAAACAAAAATAAATATATTTAACCATTAAGGGTTGACATGAGGAAACGTTGGTTACCTCTCATGTGAAATTGTCATAAAATATACAGATAGTATTTCTGCAAAATTTATTGCAATACATTGAAAATTAATATAAAAATGTTAAATAAAATACTTCTTACATATAACCTTTGACATTCTATATAATCAGAAAGTTGGGTATGTACGCTCTTACCTTAGTACTAATATTGCGAAAATATGCATTAGATTCAAGCAGTAAACGTGGGGCATGTTCTTTCCAAGGTATCTTCAATAAAGACAGCGCGATAGGCTCCATTTTCGTGTTCGCGAGCTAAACGCGGCTTATTCTATTCTCCGCGCGTGATAAGGAACGAGTAGGAAGTACCGGATACGATAAGAGATATACCATTGCCGTAATCCTCGACAACGAACGCGCGCAAAAATTCTTCCCCCCTTCCCTCACGAGAAAGGGTTACCTCTTCCCCACGATCGTTCACGCCTGAGTTGTCCCTTCGTCGCGCTATCGTCTCGTCGCCTTGTTCGCGTTCGTGGAATCCGTCGTAAGGAAATGTAAAAGGAAATGTAAAAGACCGATCGCGAAGAATTTGTAGTTTAAAAGGATCTGCGTACCTACAACGCGCGGTCGAGCGAGCACGACGCCGACGACGACGACGACGACGACCACAACGGTGATGAACGGAAGGGAGGAGGGAGAGGAAAAAGCGAAGCGCGAAGAAATGCGAGAGGAGGAGAAAGATGACGAGAGAACTATCGAAGTGAGGTTCGCGCGCGCCGCGTCGGTGCCGCGGTGGTGACGGTGGCGAACGATGATGGTGATGGTGGTGGTGGTTTGGACCGTTAGTTGGCCCCGGCGGGAGCGTTGTCCGGGCACACCGCGCGTTACTATTCCCCGTCCTCCTCCTCGCCGTTCCTTCTCCTCCTCCTCCTTCTCCTCCACCGCTGTATCTCTTTTCTTATACGACGTGCTCTCCCTTTCTCTGTCTATTCTCTCTTTCTCTTTTCCCTCTGTACCTCTCTCGGTCAAGCTCCCGCCTGCCGTTCCCGCGTTCATTCTACCACGGACTTCCCCATGGCGACCCTTCCGCGCCGCACCGGTTAACCAATATGGCGGTGGTCCGGTCTCTGCCTTCCTTCGCCGCACCGGCGAAGAAACGCGCGGCAAAAAGGCGCATCGCGAGGAATTCGCGTTTTGCGCACTTGAATCCGACCTATTCGCCGTATTCCCCGATGCTTGATTTTATCCGAGAAATTTCGCTCGTTCGAGGAAGACATCCAGACTCTCCGTCTACCTTCCATTGATTCGAATCGATTCGAGAAGCGTTCGTCAATCGTTAATTTTCTTCTTTTCTAACGTTCGTAGGAGCTGTAAAGAATATTTTGGCATAATCAGCACATTTCGATATATTTTTGTACGCTAATAAGCTTGTTTTTATTTGATTATACGGGAAGCAGATAACAATATATACTTTTCTCACAATCGTAGGATCATATATATTTATTCATATATACATATATGTTGCAAATAAATGTTACACTACTTACAGAGTAACTCCGTACATGAAATTATGTGAGAGAGGGTTTTATGAACTATGATTTTATGTACTCTGTGGTACGCTTTATGTGTGAAATTCCATATTTCTAAAGAACTCAAACTATATTGTATATGAATCGCTGAGACGATCCTTTTACCGTTAATGCAATGAATGTCTAATACAGAAAGAAAGGCTCGAGATTTTATTGCTCATCGTTCTTAGCACAGGATACAAAATTAGAGTCTTTGGAAGATGCGAGGTCCAAGAATAGTTGTCACGAAAATAAAATCAATTTTTTTGTTAGAGCACAGCAATAGACAGGAGTACATGTACAGTAACAGGACAATAATTTTACTTGAGGTATTGTGATACATCTGGGATGTCTTTGTTAAAATTTTGACATTCTCTTGGAATTGTCTTTAAACGAAAATTTTATATTAATATGTTCCACTGCCTAACTTATTTCTCAATTTTTATTAGATTAATTAGCAAAATCAGCAACTGATAAAAATTATTTCTGTCAATTTCAATGTTTACAATTGTTTATAAAAATTATTTTTTTTTTTATAGTAAAAGAGCAATTATTATAACAGTCTTGTATACCAAGTTTCGAAGTTTTCTTCTTAATATCCTAGCTTGTGTGCAACACTTTTGTGTAGGGTACCCTACCTGAGGATACTCGCGAAGAGAGATAAATATGATTAGAGCACCAACTACGACGAACATAGTTTCACCAAAAATGCGATATAACGTGCGACTATTGATCGAATGTTCATTTTGAGACTGTTGACGAAACGACATTGTTAAACGAACTGAGTGCCGAGTTGATCGCTGGGCCAGTGGGTCCCCTCGT